TTCAATCACACTTATATATCTCCCYAGCTGTAAATGAGATCACACTTTTTCTCATACACTTCAATGGTTGTTTATTTTGCAGTTTAGGTTYAAAGGACAAATGGATTTTTTCGTAATCTGTTCACCATATTACCCCAGAAGAGGGGGAGACTGACTTAGTAAGGGCTACATAATTTCAGAGGTGCTACTTGTCCTTTTTTCTTTCAGTCAGCCTTCCTCTGATGCAGTGAGCAGTTTCCTTTCTCTGTCACTGAGGMAGGACACAAGTAACTAATTCCAGGAAAAAAAAATGACCTGAAATGAGCAGCGGTGAGARGTTATGCACTGTGGAATGCAGTTTTACAATGATATATTAAAAAAGGCAGATCAAAAGTAAACTGCCTTTTTATTTTATATTATTGCAAAATCTGCTTTGTTTATATTAATGAAAAAGAAAACACCTTATTTCCATAGTTTAAATAAAGCTAGGTAGTAACAACTCAAAGCAAATTACTGTGTTACAGATCTTTCTCTTCCTAGGAAATACGAATCAAATTCCAAACACTGGACTGTCATCTATTAGGAAGATCAYTCACACCATTTATGACCTGTTATTTATAAGTCACTGAAAGATACTCAGAAGACTCTTGTGAAAAGCTGTGATGTACTACACAGYCTATGCTGACAAGCCACCCAAATCACAAGCCTTTCATGGTTCCAGAGAAACAAAATTCAGTGAAAGTCTATTTCTTAGGTTTAAGTTGAAAAGCAATAGATGTAAGCAACATCCTTAATATGACAAATGATAGAAGAGCACTTCTGCAGCACAGACCATTTAACAAACTTGTGAAGCCAGGAGGCTCCTCTGGAGCACAAGGGCAGTGACAGCAATTGGAGAGTTTGCACCAGATGTGCTCTAAGTGTCAGAAACTAAATCTCATCTCAGCTTCAGGGAGTTATATCTGAATAGAACTTCCCATGTCTGAAAAGATAATAATGTGAACACTTGCAAAATACAGGAGGAGCTATGACAAACTCCTTTGGTTTGGTATTGGATGATGTACTGAAGGCTCACTACCAAGTACCAAGGACACAACATGAAGCAGAATGACCAAACAGGGGTGAGTCCCCACACTAGAAATGGCCCCACCATGGCACCTGTGCCTGAGTAGGGTGGCACGGAGGCTATTTACCACACTTCAATCCATACTCTTACTCTGGTTGAATTCTAAATTATGACAGATACCAAATCAAATGTTTTTGTATTTTTATACCAGAAGTACACACAGAGTCAGYTCCATTGGAAAAGTGTACAGCCTGGTGTATTTCAGTTTGCAGAATCAGGCCTTCCATTCACAGATACACATTTTCCCCTTCACTAAAGAAGTAACACTGTGAATGTTAACACCATTACAGCTCTAAAAGTACCACAAATGTGCTACTATATTAGACCCTTTTTTGTGGGTTTTTGTTCCTYTGTTTATTTTGAGTTTTCTGTTGCTTTGTTGTTTGGTTTKTTGTTGGTTTTTGTTTGTTTGTTTTTTCCYAAAAAGAGRAATACTATAATTATCTGAATCATGGYGACTAAAATTTTCAAGCTATATTAAAAAAATCTTACTGGTAGATCTGTAGGTGGCCTACATAGGACTCTGACACTCCAGTCCTTCCACATGTCCTTTGTGCTTGATTAATTAGAGAAACTATGGAGATGTGATATTTTTACAGTGACKTTTTCTTATAATTAAATAAACCTGCATATATCTCCCATAAAGCATCAGCTAATGATATTTTTGTAAAGTGCCAGGTAAGTGCCAACTGGAAGATAACAAATTTAATATTTAGATGGATGTCCTCAGTAAAAAAAAAAATAAAATTATGGGATCTTTAATTTCATAGAAATATAGTATCATAAATTTAGTCTGAGCATCATACATTAAAATAATGMTATGCAAATAGGCATGACTGCTAAATATGGTTTTAGAATAAGACTACTTAAATGAATAAGTAATATTTTAAATGTCAGTCAACACACCATGAAAAAAGAAAGCTCACTTTAATGAGGTTGGTCATTTGTGGCTTAGGTAGTCAAAGGATTAGCACATAGAGCAAGTGAAGGCTGCACGAAGCTTTGTGCCAGTTTTACACAGGTATTCACTTTCATCTCAATAAAAGATTTAGTGYAACAAATGCTGGCTTACAGGGTGCTTTGGTGCTTATGGCACAAAAGGACTTCTCAAGAAACTTGCTGTGTTGCCAGGTAAAGGTCAGGCACAGTTTACCAAGACAGAGGGGAATAAAGAGATCTAAAAAAAAAAAAAGAGGCTTTACTGACAGACCTGTAGTGTAGTGGTACAGACAAGTTTTTTTTAATAGTTTGTTTATGTCAACTTTATTTTGACTAATTTCTCTATACAAGGAGAATAATTGTAGTATCAGTAGAGAGGATATCTATCAGCAATCAGTCGGACAGCCCAAAGGGATTGGAGGGGAAAGATAGAGGGTTTAGAGTAACAGACGAACTTGAACCTTTTTTAACCTTTTCAGCAGACTGCAATGCATTGAAGAAAGCAGAGCAAATACAATGCACTCTCTGTGAGAGCCACACTTTTGCCTGGCCTTGCACACAGAGGTCTCTACACAGTAAGAAATAAGTCTTAGTACATATTAGCAGCCACCCCTGGCTGGAATGATTTTCTGTCTGCTTGGAAAGTGGACCACAATAGAAGGTGGATCAGGCACATGCAAAATCTGCCTCTATTCTTAATAACCACAACACTGAGCTAGATGCTGAATATTTTTAAAACAATCCGACTGTTTCATGGTACATTCATGATATTAAGTGTGTCCATATTGCAAATACTGCACTTTGGAGTCCCAGAGGATTTGCAGCCCAAACTGCAGGAGCAGCAGGTTCACTGTTCCTAACGACTGTGCTCTGCTTCAATTCAGGAGGAAAAGAATGATAACAGGTTTTCTTGTTTTSAGGAGAAAGTAACAAGAATCTTAAGTGCAAATTATTTTCACTGCCAAGCATTATTTGAAAACTAAAACAGAATAAAATTAGCATTTTAAACTCTTTGGAAGATATCTCCCTTTCCTCTTTGTACTTTTATGCTGAAGCACCTTCTCAAATCTTCTAAAAGCTGGGATTTTTTGAATCAACCTTGAAAATTGGAACAGCTTCCACTACAAGTTTCCAGCTACTTTCATTTCATATGTACTGTAAAATATGCTAATAGAAAAAGGAAGCAGCTGTAATCTGCTCATTCAATTGAATTTTTCAGCCTGCATATATTTATTGGGTCATTTACCCTATATTTGCCAAAAGAATGTAGGCCCTCACACATTCCAGGCAATCAGAACTTATTTATAAATATACCATACTGAAACTTTTGATAATAAGATTTCTATCATGGAGTTATGAGGAATTCCTGGGAGACAATATGGGGTTGGTGTTATGGGGGGGGKGGGGGGGAGGTGTTTAAGACTCCAAAACAAAGACAATACTGTAAAAGATACTGTTTATCAGATACTGTAAGAGCTGAAAAATTTGGGAATGTATTTAGGTTTATTTAATGCAAGGAATGTAGTGATTCCAAATCAAACAGCACAGATGTGAAAGTCAGCATTTCCAAAAGAGGGCATGCTGAAGGAGGCTGCTGAGTTTAGCAAAGGACTCATATTGTGTGATGTCAATGTAATCCACAAGATTCAGACCCATCAAGTGATAACTGCAATGGCTTTCAGCAGCACTGACTTCATATATTCAAGATAAATACAATATTACCTATGCTTTTATCCATCCTACCATTGGAAATGTACATTAATGTGCCTTCTGTTTTATATGTGATTCAAGCCTATACTAATCACCAATATTTAAATACAAATTGTGAGAGAAAAAGAATCCCCTTACATGTGTTCATCTGGAACACCACAAAATGCAGCACAAAATGAAGCCTCTGAAATAAATCAGAGATAGTTAATTCAGGAATAGCACATGAAGCTTGAGTGGGTTTATTGTTGTGGCTTTTTGTTTTTGATGTGTATAAGCACGGCATGGTTTATTATTTTCTTATTTTCAAAGAGAATATAGGAGGTGTGTTTTTAAGTGTGGTTTTGTTTTTTTTTTTTTTTTTTTTTTTTTTGTGCTATTACATGTAAAGACGTTGATGCACTGTGCTAGATAGAGAACACAAAGCTGAAACTTTAAAGCACAGCAAAAGAAAATTCAAACATTTGATCATGGGCTAAATATGAAAGTTTTGCCCCAAGCTACAGCATGGTATGGCTCAGTCTCCTTCAAAACCTAAGCCTCTCACATAATAAACCTGGCTGACAAACACTGATTTAGAAGAGAGAAACGACTCTCATTCAACARTAACATAACCAGTGGAATTTAGCAGAAATCAGACAGAAGAAAAAAACCTTTCCAAAACTTTACACTACTGCACATTCAAATCAGACCCCAACACTCCCATTTTAGGGTGCAAACCAAGCTTGAGAGATGTCTTACTAGTTTTCTGCCCAAGAACAACAACTTGCCATTGACTTTACATAATGCAACTGGGCTGGAGTGATTAATCTTCTCAACTACATAGCMATTCAAAACCTGTTGGCCTCAGCCCATAATGGTCACAATATAGATCTGAATTCAGRTTTTTGTGTGGCCTTTACAACTGCTTCAAGCTTTGAATAAAAAGCTATCATCCCATCTAATTTCTAGCACACATGTAGTTGCACACARCCAGGTTAATCATTAGTCCTTAAAATAAAGAGATAAATATGTCTTTTCAGGACTGGAGCTCTAGCCTGCATCCTGTTCCTTGTATATGTTCCAAATARTGGAGATAAGTGAGTGAAATTCTCAAAATCCTTCAAATTACCCTTCTCAGTTATAAAAAGCAAGAAAAAAAAATAAGTAGGAGTACATATATACATAGCCATATGTATGCAAATAGAAAAGACTAGATATATCATCTCCATACACCCCAAAACCTTGAAACAAATCCAAAAAASCTTACCCTTGCCAACGTCAGGGTTCCTTGTTTACACACGTTGCAGCGGACCCTCAGCTTCCCAGGCTTCACAGCTTGGCAGAAATTTTTGCAGAAAACATAAAAACTGTTGTAACTTGCTGCACCTGTCAAGAGGAAAAACAAACAAACAAAAAACAACCACTTTTGATGTTTACTGAAAATTAGCAGCAATGAAAATGTCATGAAAGCTTTCTATTTGACTCTATAGCTGATAAGTTAAAACAATTTAAAGTTCTGAAGACACTTTGTGCTTATCTTATCTTGTCTGGTCTAGTTCCTAACACCTTCCAGTAACTCTTGCTTCTTGATCAATAATTACAGGTGAACTACACCTTAACTCCTCGAAAATGCATCCAGAGCTTACCACTGATGAGCACAAACTGAAAGCCTTGGCAAGTGACATATGAGATTAACTAACCCAGCCCTTCAATTTGCATCTCACTTCTAGTCTAAAATTGTCTAGCTGCAAACTTTTATGAGGTCAAATTGCATGAAAATTTCTTTAGATGAAGTTTAAAAGATGAGTTTGACTGATATAACAAAAAGAAAACAAATATTTAATTTAGCAAATTTACTTCTATCCATGGAAGACTGGAAGCCATTTCTTTATTCTTGCTGGCAGCCTTATAACCTAGCAAAGTTTGCAAACTGCTGCCAAGATACCAGGCCAAGTAAATTTTCAAGGAAAATTAAATGAAATGCATTCCGTTCTGTGAAACTATGGAACAGAATGTGATATGCAGAGAATTGTGAAAGCCCAGGGCAATACTAATGAATTTGATTTCACAGGCAATTCTGATCACTGTTTTGAGTGAAGCACTTTTTTAGAATAGCTATGGCTACTCCTTACAAAATGTTGGAATATCCCTGACAYGATTTTAATCTAGACTGGACATCTCCAAATTCAGATGCCCAGACTCAAGCTTATTAGCAGAAGTTGAGGTGAGACCAGAATAAACTTTTAAACAGATATTTCTCAATATCAAGAGGAGATTTCACCCATTAACAGTGGTGAACTTCAGAATCTGTCTTTTTCCTATTCTCTTCTTCAACATTCATCAGTAATATAAGTTTTATGTACATTTGAAACCTAGCACATTACCACAGTAAATATGACCTGGAAGAATATTTTATTGTATTTTATTGTATAATAAAATAGTATTTTATTGTATAAATAACATGGCTGCCTTCCTTTGTTTTTATACGTCCCTGACATGGTARGGGTCAGACCCTGCATTCTGCCAATGCAAAATGCCAAGCAATTGCATTTTATATGTATTAATGGGTGTCCTGATTTAAATATAAATATAACTGAAACTCATATTATATTTAAATATAATATAATTGTAGCTTAAATATAATTTGAGTTTCCAAAACTCAGTCTCAGAGAACTGTGACATCCAAAAAACCCTTTTTTCTAAGAAAAAAATATGTAGATGTCTACAAAGAATCGACACTGTTGCGAGAAGTTCTGCAACACTTTTTTAATTTTTCAGAAACATAAACTGCATAAAAGTATATCAGTGATGTCTCCAAAACTAATTTTAGTCAACTGATCTATCARGTGTTTTCACTATGCTTCCTTGGAGAGTATTAACCATCATGGCAGAACATAAAGTATTACAGAACTTAAATCGAATTCATATTTTCTGGAGATATGACACACAACATACATTCACACATTTACACACTTTTCATATGAATCAATGCAACTCAAAAAGCTGAGAGCACACTTCTCAAATCAGTCTAAAACACAGTTCTGGCACTAAAATAGTTAAATTAAAAAAAAAAGGCTTATGCTGAACTATTTAATATATGTCACTCACAACACTGAGAGGTGAAAACTGAATATGACAAAGTTTTGGCATCTGGATATCTATTCACTCATATTTTGCCAGAGGCTCTGATTACTGGAACWGAGAGTACATTTGGATTAGACTTGATTTGAGCTAGAATCCACAACAAAAATCTAACCTGTGGTATTGCATATGAGGAGGACACTTGCAAGAGATTTAATTTTACTTTTGGCAATTCCTCTATGCAGGATCAGCAGATCAATCAATATTTGAATTTTGCAGAATTCAAAGGAAATGCTACATAACTTAAGTAACCAAGAATGCTATTGCTAGTAGAGGTCCACAGTAAACAAGATKATTTCAGCCACTTATTCCTGACTCAGTCTCAAGAGCAGGAAGTGAGACCAGAGTCCATTATCTATTCTGTTATCACTAGTCCTCTCCTATAGTTCCAATTCCTTATATGGGTTATCTATCAGGACTACTGAAACTGCTGCTTCTATTCACATGTGGTGAATCCTGAGTAGTTCTGTGCTGCCACCACTCACTGTCTTTGTTCAGTCCTACATTCCAAAAGGATTTCTGCTATAACTCTAATGAAACCCTTCCAGTTAAGCAGAACCATCTTATTGACTACATGAGCCCTTAGACCATAAAATAATTTGCTAATTGGCTGATGTATTTCCTGATGCAGTCCTCCACTCCCTGATGTCTTGTGTCCCCGTCTCACATTTTATGCCAAGGATTAAAATTTATTTTAAAGATTAAAATACTTGAGGCAGGAATCATGCTCTCTGTCTGCTTTGTGTTCTAAGCTCATTCCATCTGGACCCAAAGATAAAATTATTTTATTGATAATACTCTACAAAATATTCACAGGATAGTATGGCATAAATCAGCATGACTGAATACTGCAGTAAAAAATAGTAGTCATAGGAGAGGCCTAAAATGAGACATATTGCTGATTTACTATAGAGGATAAATCTTATGCATTAGCTTGATATTTGCTCTGTGCAAAAATAGACTACATTAGCTCAATATTCATTTTTCTTAGCACTTTCAATTTCRTTTTCTGTTTTCATGAATATAAAAAGTCCCCCCAAACACATTCCCTGTGCACAAATTTGAAACACAAGAAACAAATTTATAATATAATGGGTTGGAGCAGTTAAGCAGCACAGATCTATTCAGAGACRCAGAATAACTTTAGAAAAATCTGCTATAGCAAGGAAGCTGGAAGGGCACAACATGACAAGAGGAATGCACTGATTTTAGAAGGAATGTGTTAAATGGAGATTTTCAGCAACCCATTCACCATTTTATGCAGATGTGCTGATCACATTCTCATAAAGTGCAGCTACATCATTAGGTGCATGTCCTGAGCAGCATCACCAGGMAGAACTAAGACTTAATTAAAAATGTAAATGATGAAACCAGCTTACAGTCCAACATTGATGGCCTGCATTAAGCTCTTTACTGACTTGCTCAGGTGACTGACTCTATGACCATGGCCCTTTTCTGAGACTGCATCCCCTTGGAGCCATTTTCAAAGAGAAACGGAAAGATACAGAAACAAGGAAATCTGCCTTATGCACCAGCTCTGCTGTATCAATATTAACAAAGAATGTAATTGTGACATTGAGCCACTGAAATTGCTGCAGAACCAAGCAGATTATAAATCTATGACACACAATTTTAAAACTTCAATGAGAATTCAGAAAACAATCCCTATTTTGCAGTTTTCACTTCCAAATATTATCATATAATGCCATTTATTACATGCTCATTTTAGGAAAATGTCTGATGGTTTTCTCTATGGAGTTCATGTAATTATGTTGCCTTTACTGACANAAAAAAAAAAAAAAAAAAAAAAAAAAAAGTAGGATGACATAAACACATGATTACAAGAGGCCTCTCATTTACAATCTGTGTCAGGACCTGTCTTCTCACCCCAATGAGACACCGTCTCTCTTTTCTACCTCTTCAAAGCTGATTTCCTCACAAATATCACACCACAAWAATGTTCTTAAAACTGTTCTCTCCCTTTACTGTTTTATATAAAAAAAAAGGAAGTAGCTTTTTCTGATGTGTATCCCAGTGTTTTGTACTGTCTCCCCATTTAGGTTTTTAAGCTCCTTAGGACTTGAATGACTTCCTTTTTTCTGTGTTGTTAATGATGACCATGCTGTGGAAGCTTTGTACATGTTAGCAATAGCACAGACCAATTATTTTGATATGCATGACTAGCTAATGAGAAAACATTAGTCATAATGACTACAGACTTGATCCTGAAATCTCTAATCAGTCAAAACACCCATTATCATCTCTATGACTGTTTAAGTGAATGAAATYTGAATAGGGATATTAGTAGCAAACCTACTGTTTTCATTTGAACTGCATTTTCATATAGATTATAATGATTAYTGAGCCTTTCCTATAATCACCTATTTAAAACAGGACACAGCTACAGGAAATGTTTCAACAGATTGAAAACTACATTAAGCTAGTATTGTTTCAGATTCCATTATATTTACATTTAAACTAGTTGTAATGTGTAAAATGTAGACTGACTGTCASAGACCTCAGACTATTTTAGCAATTTGCACCCACATAATAAAAAAGACACAGTTAGAAGTGAACAAAAAAAAGTCTTCTTCCAAATGTGTTCACTTTAAGGACTTTGCTTGATTCAACACAGTAGGAGAAAAAACAATTGAAGTATAAACCCAGTATGCTCAAACTAGTGAATATTTCCACATAAAGCTAAGTTTAAAACTAGTGGAGGYGCACTTCTGCACCCAAAAAAAAGAAATTACTTATAAGATCCCATTCACTTTGCCAAAATATAAGTGTAACATTCTGCCTTTAAACTTTTACTCTTTAACCACTCTTCTTTACCTGCAAAGATTTCACAGAGCACGTAGCTTTCCACCCCAGACCCATGCATGTGGATGCACACACTTAAAATCTTTTCTACCTGTTCTACATTATGCCTATTCTTTATGATGCCTATCTAATTTAGGACATGAAAATGGTATTTATTTAACAGCTAAATTAATATAAACTGGTTGTGCTATAKTCTAGTGAGAAATATTGACACTTTTATGATTTGGTTTGATTCAATTCATCCTGAAGTAGATATAAAAAGATACAAACATGTCAGATATATTGTGCCTAAAAGAGTCTGCTTCTCTCTGTTGCGGGGATTTAGAAACACAAGGTATGGTAGAAATATCTACTTTGCAAAGCATTAAAATTAGGGAACAAGAACCCCAATTGGTGATGTCATGCACAAGAACTCAATGCAA